ATGCTAGGTTGAATTAAAATCACACACATTCCTATCCTATTCTATTTCCCTATGTCGCTATATACATACTATATACACACTTTGCCGACGTTCGTCGGCTCGTATTACATTTGATGATGACCCTGCAGCACCTCATTTGTTCCATCTCCTGTCACCCTGCCGTCAGGTATTCTACGCCTCTGTAACTCTTAATGAACCTAGTTCATCTAGTTGGCCTATCTTTCTGTGGGGTTTACACTTTAAAATTATCACACTTATTGTTCATGTCTATATGAAGTTGTTTCACTTACTTGAGCTGAGGAAACAGACGCTCGCCATCACCAACCAACGTCCACTCATTGCCATCGCTCTCTCTGTGATAGCCTCCGGCTGAACTCCAAGTCAATTAATAATATTAATAAGTCAAAAGGTTTTTTGATTGATTCCTCTAGGGTTTATGTACCCTCTTTTTGCTGATTCATTGTGTTCCGGGGTATATTGGCCCGCCCATTCTGACGTGATTTTGGGTCGGCGTTGCCCACTCATTGGCTGTCTATCAAGAAGGGGTTGACTCTTTCGGGTCTACCGCCTTCTCCAACTGAGCGTTTTCCTCCTGCCATAGTGTTTATGACCTACTTCATATAGCTTCTTCCTCAATGTCAGCGTTATTCCGCTGTCGCGCTAACATTCTGATTACTAAGGTATTGCCTCTTACACTTCTTCGCAAACCCCAACTTCCTGGTACATTTCATCATTTCTGTTTCCTAATCTTACAGTCTAGCTACTATTATTCCAAATTTACCCCAAAAAACTATATCTACTTGTACATAACCCTTGCACCATTACAGTCATAATTAATCAATAAAAAATAAGATGGGTACTGAACACTTTTAGACTATTTAAATCAGCGGGAACAGATGGAATTGTACTGGCACTTTTGCAGCATGGGGCAGAACTTTTAGTTCCACATCCATGCCGCATATATAGAGCCTGCATGGCATATGGTTTCATCCCCACAGCCTGGAGGCAAGTTAAGGTGACGTTTATTCCAAAGCCCGGGAAACTTGATTATACCGAGGCTAAGACTTATCGTCCTATCAGCCTGTCATTTTCCTTTTGAAAATGATGGAGAAACTAGTAGATAGGCATATCAGGGATGGGGTATTGAGGACATATCCTCTACACCGAAACCAACATGCCTACCAAACAGGTAAATCGACCGAAAGTGCACTACACAATGTGGAAGTACGCATAGAAAGTGTGATTAAACACAAGGATATTGCCTTAGGAGCATTCCTTGATATAGAGGGAGCTTTTGATAGAACCTCATTTGATATAATCAAACAGGCTGCTGGAAGGCATGGCATAGAGCCTGCAATATGCAAATGGATAAATGCTATGCTGGAAAGCAGAACCATAGCTGCTACATTATCAGGAGAAATCCTGGGGGCATCCACGTCTAGGGGATATCCACAGGGGGGCGTACTTTCGCCTCTGCTGTGGAGCCTGGTCATGGACGATCTTCTGTGGGGACTTAATGATGATGGGTATTATACAGTAGGATATGCTGATGATATAGCAATCCTCATAAACGGAAAATTCCTTTCGACAGTAACAGAGCGTCTTCAAACAGCTCTGTACATGGTCCAACGAAGGTGTGAAAGAACAAGCCTTTCCATCAATCCTAATAAGACAGTAATTATACCGTTTACCAGGAAGAAAAATATAAAGGGCCTTAAGGAACCGACCCTCTTCAGTAAGATGATCCAGCTCTCCAGCGATGTCAAGTACCTTGGTCTAGCATTAGACAAGGGACTGACATGGAAAAAGCAACTGGACAAGGTCATCAATTAAGCCTATAAGCCTTTTTGGACATGCAGAAGCACGTTTGGTAAAAATTGGGGACTGCAGCAGCACGTTGTGCATTGGATATATACTGCGGTTGTAAGAGCCATATGGCGCCACAGTATGGTGGCCCAGAGTTAAACTCAAGACAAGCAAGGGAGAACTTAGTAAATTGCAAAGGTTGGCTTGCTTGGGTATTACAGGAGCAATTCAAACATCTCCAACAGCTGCACTGGTGACACTCCTTGGACTCCCCCCACCGCATCTATAGTTGGAGGCAGAGGCCAATGCAGGAATCTACCGTCTCCAGTGAAGTGATCAATGGAAACCTAAATTCTATAGTTCTGGACATGCATATGTAACTCAGGACATGAAAAAAGAACCCATATTACAAACTTACTTTCAGCCTCGGGCAGTACATGACAGTATTCCAGGCAGAAGTATATGCCATTAAGGCATGTATTATGGATAATCTAGATAGGAACTACAGAAATAGGAACATCTACATTCTATCTGACAGCCAAGCTGCACTTAGAGCACTTGACAAACACCAAACTCTCATGGAACTGGCCAAACATAACAGGGTACAACTGATATGGGTGCCAGGGCATGAGGGTATTGCTGGAAATGAAGCAGCAGACCAATTAGCTAAAATTGGAGCTGAACATCCATTCATAGGACCTGAACCAGCCTGGGGCATCTCTATAGGAGTTGCCAAACAGGCAATCAGGGACTGGACTAACATAAAACATAAGAAATACTGGGGATCGGATCCCTAACTGGACTCAGGCAAGCAAAGGGACTCATACGAGAACCTTCCACTAAAAGAGTGAAGGAACTGTTGAAGTTAAACAGGAACCAGCTACGATGGGTGGTAAGACTATTTACAGGACAATTTCACCTCAAAGGACACCTGTTCAAGATGGGACTAAGTGATAGTCCCACTTGTGAGAGGTGTCAGACAGAAAACGAAACAGCCACACACATCCTGTGTGAATGTGAGGCTTTAGCTTATTTAAGACTGCGTCACTTGGGTCAATAATTTATGGAACCAAGTTTCTATTTGACGCCCCCAAGTCCAAAATCCTGTGCTTCATCCTAAGAGCGGGGTTTTCTGAGGGAATAATTAAAAAAGGGGAAGCACAATAGACCACTGAGGTCACGGTGCAAGGGCCGAGAAGGCCTGCCCCTCATACATTCATTCTTTCATGCTTCCAAGTGTTAAAATGGATGACTGCAGTATCGGTCTCACTTCTCACTCCAAATTTAAACGACTGCTATGTTAATACTGGGAGTGGGGGGCAGAGATGGGCACAGTAGTGGAGCCTTCATACTGAGTTTCATAAAGAGTAATTAATTTGTTTAAAAAGGTAAAGTTGTCCTGGGCTTAACTAATTAAGCACTATGCCATGAAAGAATATGGGGGAGTGGATGTATAGATCCACATGAATTTGTTTAAAACTGGTGAAATATGTATACATGCTTACACAGGTACTCACATCTAAAGAATTAATGACGGTGTGGTGATAACATACAATTTTGTTGCTTTATAATAAAAGTAAAGTAAACTAAAATTAATGCTAACAATTCTCCGTGTGTTGTAATATCATATATTTTAAGCAGAATATAAAATTCATCCAGAGCAATGTCTTGGAATAAAAAGAAATCCTGTAATTTATCCAGAAGGATGGAAGTTTAGCAAAAATAACTTTTAAGTTACAGATTTACAGATCTTTCCTTAAGGATAAACATACAATTACCTCACTCCAAATATAATTTAGAGTAAACTAAAATAAAACATTATGAAGAAAGTTATATAATCATCATGGCTTAATCTGATCTAATAGCAGTAATTCTTCAAATTTCTAAAATCTATTTACTTTACATAAGCAAATTTAGAATTAGACATAAAATTCACAGTTTGCATTGCAGGTTAAGCACCTGATCAGCCCACGGAAGGCTGGGGATACACATCTCATGGTTCAAATCCTGGCTTCTTTACAATACCATAAAATTTTCTATGAATTTTGCCTCGATGTCATGTGTGTGTATCAAGAATACAGCAAAATCTTATGGTTTTTTAAAATGGAATGGCAGTAAACTAAATGTATTATTATATGAAACAAGATCAGCTTTTTAATTATTGCATTTAGGAATACTTATGACATCAGAGCATCTGGTGTGTTCACCTTCCCCAAAATGAGCAACAGAAGAACAAAACAGAATTTGAAAAATGTATTTCAATCAAGCCAAACTAAAGCAGATGTCTACAGGTATGGAAACGATTTTTCAGAACTTGCAGATGTTCAAACACCAGCTGAATGCATACACGTTTTTGAAGTTAGGTCTGGCTTCCTGGTAAGCATTAATTTATTAAAGGTGCTGTGACCCATATTACTCATATGCATCTATTTCCTGTCATTAGCTATAAAGGATTCACATATACATGTCTCATTATTGGGAACAGTTTTATCAAATGGGAAATAACTCTGGTAATTAGTAAAGAACATCTGCCAACTCCTACCCCCATTCCTAACCCTGGATGTAAATTGTTTGTAAGTCTCATAGTGCCGAGTATAATGAGCAGTCTTCTGTATTGTAATAACACATACAAGTAGTTCAGGGACAACCTGATGTCTTTGAAAAATTAATCATCTCTATTTTCAAGTTGTAACATAAACCAAGCAAGAAACCAGCAGAAGCAGGTTGAAAACCAAGGTCAGCTTATAACCTGGTTCTGCTGTTTTACTGTTTGGTTCACAATTTGACGCTGAATAGGATAATATGTTCTTCAAAAATGTGTACATTTCTCTGAGCTATACAACATTACAATTCAGAAGACCATATTCTTATTTGATATACATGCTATCATCTGTATGTCTCATTTGTGGTGTGACAAGTACATTCAGCATGTGAACACAGTCATTGTCAGTACAGGTTAATCTAAATTATATCAGTACTTCAACCGTCACATCTTATGCATATGAAGTGTTACTGTACAATCATTTATTTAGTAAGCATATCGTGTTAATCCAAAGTTTTGTATGTATAAAGGGAATCTAACACTTCACCCAGACGTATCTAAATGAACTGATCCAACAGATGTTATTTACATAAGCACCGTTTTTAATGCTTAATATTGAAGGTACGGAGTAGTGAAGAGCTTCTTGACCTACCTAAAGCTCCAATTCTATAGTTGGTTGTCACAAGAACAATGTCTTGATCCAATAAGTATTCTGGGCCATATGCCTTGCTATGTGCAGTTAAGCCGTAAAATCCGCCAGGATGGAAGAACACCATAACTGGTCTCTCCGGATTATGTTGTTTTTCTGGCAACTAAAACAAATAAATCTCTCACTTACATACTGCACTGTGTGATGAAAATTCATATCATATTAATGCACTTATTCCTTTTTCCTATTAAATGAAAATTTTCAATAACATTCTGATGACTAATTTTCAATCAATTATATATTTTTTCATTTCTTCACTTCTACCCAAAAGATCAATTCAACAAGCACTGTTATTCTCTCATAATTTACAGTTACTTTTGAGAATTAACCTCTAGTAAAAACTGCATTGAAACTATTTTAAGTAGTTGTAATAAAGAAACTCATAATAGTTAACATAAGAATATTCATATTAAAGAATAATTTCATTTTGTCTCAATGGAAAATATTTGATTAAGAACTAAAAAACGAATTCCAAGTATAATAATAAATGTAAGTAACTTTAATGGTTTTACTTCATGTAAAATAAAAACGGAATATACCGTATGTCTAAAAAGTATCCAACTTTATTTTTTTTCCGCTGTAAGTAATGGCCAAAGGGGTGAGGAAACTGAGTGTGGTGGTACAAGGGACTTTCATGCGCATGCGTGATTTTTTGCTGACTCGCAACACTGACAGATGTGTCTGTAGCTGCCAGATAGTGAAGTGGTGTAACACGTGTTCGTTGCATTCTCGTTTCACTCAAGATAACAGAACGCTTGGAGCAGCGATACTGCATTAAGTTTTGTCAGAAACTCGGGGATACCCAAGCGGAAACAATTCGCAAAATTCAGCAGGCTTTCGGCGATGATGCAATGGGGGTCACTCAAATTAAAGAGTGGTTCAACTGCTTTAAACATGGCCGTATGTCGGCGGACAGTGAGCAGCATTCTGGGAGACCATCAATGAGCCGAAATGCTGATGTCATTGAAAAAGTGCGGACATTGATCATGGAGGACCATCATTTGACCATCTGTGAAGCTGCTGATGAGGATGGGATCAGCAGAGGTTCCGCAAACACAATTTTAACTGAGGATCTGGGCATGCGAAGAGTGGTGGCAAAATTTGTGCCCAAGCTGCTTTCGCCGGAGCAACAGGGATCCTGAGTTCCTGAAGACTGTGATCACTGGTGATGAGTCGTGGGTGTACAGATATGACCCGGAAACTGAGGTCCAGGCATCACAATGCAAGCATCCAACATCCCCGAGGCCCAAAAGAGCACGACAGGTTCGGAGCAATGTGAAGGTGATACTGACTGTTTTTTTCGATTACCAGGGTGTTGTGCATCATGAGTACGCACCACTAGGCCAGACTGTCAATAAGGAGTACTACCAAGAAGTCCTCCGCCATCTTCATGATGCAGTTCGGCACAAGAGACCGGAGCTGTGGGACGCATGCAACTGGTAGCTGCATCGTGACAAAGCCCCAGCTCATTCATCACACCTGATCCAGGGTTTCTTGGCCAAGCACGGCATTCCGCAGGTTCACCAGGCTCCCTACTCTCCTCACATGGCGCCTTGTGATTTCTGGCTGTTCCCAAGATTGAAGACACCGCTAAAAGGCTGCCGTTTTGACAGCCACGAGGACATCATACAGAACGCGACAGCACAGCTGCACGTCATTCCAAAAGAAGCCTTCCAGAATTGCTTCTAGCGATGGAAGCACTGCTGGGCTAAATGTGTGGAGTCACAAGGGGCCTACTTTGAAGGCGATTAAGTATTGTAATCATCCAAATACAGAACTTTGTTTTCCCAGCCCAAGGTCGGATACTTTTTGGACAGAGTAGTATTCTGAACCAACTGAGAAGCTGCTCCCATACTGATCTAAGATATAAAGCTGCTGGTTCTTCTAAATGTCATAATTATATTACTGGTTATTTAATCTTACGTATGCTATGAGCAATTAGATTGGCTTAGTGTACCTGCATTAGAACTGCCGCAGCTTAAGAGACCTGCTCAGTGCTAATCACTTAATAGATAATGGTTGTCAATAGAGAGCATTAAATGATATATAGATAGAGATGTTAAGAGGAAAGAACGGGATTTTTTGCTATCTGCACCAATTATCATTTTTGGGTAGGTTACTTAACTACTGTTGGCATTTATACCAAAAGCCTCGTGTTTTTTGCAGGTAGTTCTGTGGTTTTTGAAATTCAAAAGATTAAAGAAGGTTTTAGAAGCTTCTGTGCATACTTTAACCATCAGAGTTTATACTGTATACAGTCTACACAACATCCATATCACTTGCTACCAAAACAACATACTTACACAAATGCATATATCTGTTTATCTTATAAACTGTAGTAGGTACTCAACAAGTTTTTATGGTTTGATTTTTATTGAATGTACAATCCAGCAGCATACCAAGCATGCTGTAATGTGTTTCATTATTACAAAACTATTCAATGTCATTGAAACAATACTGTACTTTGTACAGAGCCAGTACACTACAGGCCTGCAGTGTATCCACATTATTTCTTCAGTCACCATAAAATATTATTTGTGAGTGTAGCGCTGAAAGATGGCAAGGTAAATAGTAAAGTCAATTATGCTTCATGAAGCACCACATCATAAATATTGTGAAAAGACAGTTGAAAGTCAGAGTGGTGGAGCCGGAGCAGAAGTTCATTGCTAAGCAAAAGATCAGATATCTCGTTCTTGTTACAACACATAACAGTGAATGAGCGATTGCCAAGTAACAAGTTGCTAAACATGAGATGTTCTGTAGCAACGTATAAGACTTGGAAAAACAAACTGCTGCTTGGGGAATCAACACAAGATTCTGAGACAACAGATTCATGAAAAATAGAAATGGATCCCTTGGACTTCGTGGCTTCTGTTCAGGCTGAGTGGAAGTTATAAAAGACAGTGCATTCATGAATTCAAGAAGACTGAGGTTCAGATCAGTGAGAGATTAGGCCGAGATTCTTCATCTTCATCAGAGAGATGTCATTCAGAAGGAGTTCAATGTGTGACCTTTATGATTGTCTGCAATTGTAAAGAAGTGGCAATAAATCCAATTATCAAATCCAGAACCCATTATTATTAGTCAAGCCAATCCCTTTTATGGGACAATATGTACATAGAGGCAAGTGGCAGTATAACCCCAGGCATTCTTAACCAGTTCACTAGATGGAGGTGAGTGGTAGACTTCAGATTTTGGCCTCTTTACCCCCCACAAGGAAACCATTCATTTATATTTGATAGGAAGCTAAGTGGGCCCCAGAGCTGGTCTTAATGTTATGCAGAGAAGAAAAATTTGTTGCCCTTGCTGAAAATTGAACATCAATTCCCCAGACATCCAGCCCATAGACTAGTCACTATACCAAGTGAACTATTCTGACTGCATTGACAGTGAAAATATTTTAACTGAATATGAGTTACTGCCAACATCCTTCAAATTAAAACAGACTTCTGATTCACAAGTTGTTTTAGGTACAGATGTTTAACACTGTGTTTTCTGTAGAGTTATCAACTGACAAGGTATCCCAAGAATAATCCCCCACATATTTACCTTAGTTGTGTATACATTTAGAAATAAACAATCTTCTGAGGTTGGAACAAAAAAGCTTTCTTCTGGTTGAGGACATGCAGCACCATCTTCAGTTGCATTTTGAATACCCTGCCACTGGCCTATTGGTACAGGGGCCTATGGAAACAATGAGAATTCAATGATATTCCAATGCACCATGCCCAAGAAACCTTTGGAAATATATTCCTTTGACATGCTCACAATTAGAACAGAATATCATTTAACTAACACATCAATTAACTCGATAATTTACTCATTTCTATATACTTTGTATAATTTCTTGTAACAGATATACTATTTCCCATTTCAATGGTCCTTTGTTGCTTCATTGGAAATGTAACAAGTAGAGAAAATTTGGGATTGCTACAAAGAAGACCTCTTAACCTGTCTGGAATGGAACACCAATCATCCAGCCAGACAGCTGGCCAATAGCCTAGACACTGTACATTAACCCCAGCTGTCACATAATTAAACAAAANTAAAATAAAAATAAACATATATTAATTTCATAGGCCATTTAATTCCAAATTAAATAAATGTAGTGTCTTACTCATTTCAAGCAATAAAGCAGGAGAAGTGAGTATTAGTTTCTATCTCATGTGCTCTACAGTTACAAACTGGTCACTTTGTAAATTCTATTCCTTTCAATAGTGGAGCCGTGGGTTAATTATCTCTGCCTCCCTAATTATGCAAGTGACATTGACCACAAACCAGTAAAAATAATCAGCACTCTTGTCAGATCATGATTTCAACTCCAGACATCAAAGGGCACATTTGCAAGCTTGCAGCCTTCAAATTAGAAACTAGAATTCCTAATTGATGACTGATCACAAACAAAATATACCCCTACATCTGGCAATAAAGGCCGGTCAATACGTGACTCAGACAATGCTATTTGAAGGTGGACAGCATTTAGTGCTGATAAGAGGGATTCATTCATTCATTCATTTATTGTATATTCCATAAATCCATATACATAGATATAGAACCAGTCACATAATTAATATAGTACAGTACAAATATAAATATATATGTACAGTTTATAATCATTAAAATAGATAAAAAAAACATGTGTTAAATTTATATCAAGAAAACAGTCTTACATCACTATACATAAAATTATGCAATATTAAAATTGTTTATGTTATTATCCTTATTTCTAAGCATATTTGTTACTAAAGAATTCATCACATGTATAAAAAGAGTTTTGCAATAAAAATGTTGTCAACTGAATTTTAAAATTTTTCAAGTCATTAGACATAGATTTGATTTTTGGTGGCAAATGATTAAAGATCTTTACCCCCATGTAACATATTCCTTTTTGGAATTGTGTCAGACTAGTTTGCGGATAATGCAGATCACAGATAGATCTGGTACTACAATTATGCATTTGTGAGTTGAATGTGAACAATTCCTTATTTACTATGACAAACAGAGAGATCGACAATATATATTGAGCTTGTAGGGGGAGGATATCCAATTCTTGAAACAAACTACGACACGATGTTCTCTTTGTTGTATTTGTTATAATCCTAATTATGCTTTTCTGCACCCTAAACACTTTTATACTATGCGGGGAGTTACCCCAGAATATTAATCCATACGTTATTATAGAATGTACATAGGAAAAATACATCATTTTTAATGTCTCCAGTGGTAAAAAGGATTTAACTGATCGGATTGCAAAACAGGATCTGTTTAACCTATCAATTACTGCATCAATATGACTTTCCCACATTAAAATATTTTCAATTTTTAATCCCAGAAACGATATATTAGAAATACTTGGAATTTGATTGTTTAAATAACTAACCTGAACATTTAAGTTTTTACTGTTTTTAGTTCTAAAGTGTAGAAAATAAGTTTTCTCATAATTTATTACTAGCTCATTTTTCCTAAACCGTTCATTTATCATCTCAAATAATTTATTTCTTCTAATTTTAAATGTCGCAGGATTCTTATCAAAGATAAGGATACTTGTATCATCTGCAAATAATATTGGTTTGGATAGGTCAGATATAATTTTTGGTAAGTCATTTACATATAGTAAAAAGAGCACTGGGCCTAATACAGAGCCCTGAGGCACTCCGCACTGTATTTCTTTCCATTCAGAACAACATTTACTCCCATTTTCATACAAAATTACTCTCTGGTATCTTCCTCTCAAATAGGATCTTATAAGTTTCTGAGCAGCTCCTTCAATTCCATAAAAGTCCATTTTTGATAGCAATATATCATGATTTACTCGGTCAAAAGCCTTACTCAGATCACAAAAAATTCCACCCGCTATATATTTGTTGTTTAAAGCCCTATAAATATTCTCCATTAGATTATAAGTAGCTAACGTAGTTGAAGAGTTTTTTCTAAAGCCGAATTGCTCCTGCGTTAGCAGGTTATGTGTATTTAAGTGTAAAATCATTCTTTTATATATAACTTTTTCAAAAATCTTAGAAAAGACTGGGAATAAAGATATAGGTCTATAATTAGACATGTCGGTTTTATCCCCTTTTTTGTGTATGGGTATTATTTCAGAATATTTTAATCGAGCAGGGAATATTCCTGTAGACAATGACTTATTAAATATGTAAGTTAATGGTGATGATATATATGGTGCACTTGCTTTTATTAATTTGGTAGTAATTCCATCATATCCACAAGCTGCTTTGAGTTTTATAGATCTTATTATCTCTTCTATTTCATTGCTGTTAGTTGCTTTTAATACCAATTTCTGAGATGGTTTTGGAAATGAAGTGTATAAATAATCCATGAACTTCTTATCTGTTTCCACAGTATTATTTGTCCATTTCTTCATAGAATTGCTTATATCTAAAAAAAAGTTATTAAACGATCTTACTATATTTTTGTAGTCCTGAGTGATATTACCCTTTATATTTAAACAAGTCACCTTAGTAGAAGCTTGGCTATTTCCAGTCATGTTTTTTATAATTTTCCAGGTTGTTCTTGTTTTATTATTGGAAGTTCTTATGACTTTGTTCAGATATAACTTTTTTGCTGTTGAGATAACTCTACTTAATATCTTGCAGTACATTTTATAGTGTTCTTTTAATCTAGAATCATTATTGCTCTTAATTTTTATATAGAGCTCCCTTTTTTTATTACATGATTTTATAATTCCTGGGGTTATCCATGATTTATTAGCATCTATACTTTGTGATTTTGTGATCTGAAAACATGAATTTAGAATCCTAAGGTAAGTATTTAAAAAGTTATTAAACATTGTATCCACATCACTATCTACAAAAATATCATCCCATAATTCATAGCTCAGATTAATTTGGAAGTCTAATAGAGAGGATTCGTTGATGACCCTACGGGTATACCTCTGATTTTGTTTCATTATATATGTAACATTGTATATTATAATGATCTGCCCATCATGATCAGATAATCCATTTTCCCATGGAAGAACACTGAAACTTTTGTTTTTATATTTGTTAATAAAAATATTATCTATTGCTGTGGATGAGTTAGAGCAAATTCTAGTCGGAAATGTAACTGTACTATATAGCCCGTATGAGGCTAGTATCGAATCCAGTTTTTGTTTGTAATTAGTATCCACCAGGTAATTTATATTCACATCCCCACATATTATTATGTTTTTTGAGTGTTTGTACAATTTGTTCAGGAATTTGTTTAAATTTTCCAAGAAATAATTAAAATCACCAGTTGGGGCCGGAATGTAATTGTTATATTTCCCATCATTTAAAAATGTCCTTAGGGCACACCAAAACTTTTTCTAAGATATAACTGCTGCGTTAACACTGACGGTTAATATTACCGGAGCCTGAAACTCATGGCTAAAAAGTCGAAAATATTACTGAAGAAAGTACGTTGATTATTGTTTTGTTAAATAGAACAACAAATAATATCTTGCAATTAAATATGCTATGGAATAAAACGAGGGTCGTTCTTACCTTAAATCTTAGATTTCCAACAGGTGGCTGAGCGAAACGAACTCCTCGGAAGGAATATATGGGCCTTCCGAGACGAGACTGAATGACACTCCCTCTCAGAACCCCATGCACCGTCGTAACAAGGGGCGACGTGTCATGCGGCTGCGATGCACTCGATTTCAGTGAGAGAGCTACCAGCGCTACCAGGACCCACAATACCACCGTTCCCCGCATTTTGCTGTCGCAGATTAAACTCCTCGAACTATTTTCCTCATATATATATGTATACGCATAGGAGGAAGAACGTCGCTCTTTACCGCTCTATACGCTCTATACTTTCCCCTCCCCAACAGCCATGCATGCCACGGATGACCTTGAGAGCTAGTGAAAATATTGTAGCAGTGTTTGTAAAACATCAATAGAGCACAGAATAATTTGTGGCCTATATTGTAGGGTTTTCTCTATGCGGCGAGTCTAGGTCAAATATACGAGTATCTCTCGCCAAAATATTTACAGGGGAAAGGGCCGGGTTCATTCGAACTTCCAAAAATGTCAAATAGTAGTTACCGATTTTGGCTCTCTCTCTCTGTCTTTCTATGGCTCTACAGCCCTATGGACCTTGGCCGCCCTTTCAGTTACTTAATTCTATGCACAGTCAATAGAACTCCTCGGCCGGGGGATCAGCCCGTCCCAAGGCCTCTACCTACACACAGAACAACACAAACACAGGATACAAGCACAAAGACGCCCATACCTAGAGCGGGATTTGAACCCATGACCCCAGTGTTCGAAAGGGTTGAGACGGTTAATGCCTTAGACCTCGTGACCACTGTGGTCGGCGATTTTGATTGTTCAAATACATTCATCAATAATTTCAACTGATAACTAATTACAACCAGAATATTCTCTGTCAGCTTAAAACATGGAATATAGACAATGAAACAGGTCGAGATTCTAACAACAGTCAGTCAGCAAATACTTTTATCATAAAAGTGGAAGCATTTTACGCATAACTGACATTCTGATGAAAAGCACTTGTACTGGACATTGCTGGAAGATTCGAATTTACAGCATATCTACGAGTATTATCCGACACAATGTTTTAATAATTTAAGCAGATTCCCCCACGCGGCAGATTAATCGTCTTTGTTTTGGTAGAAACTGTATCAGCATTGCAGGAATTCTTGCTATAAGTTCAACAGGTGTACTGAAGGGTACAGCAAATCAATACACATGATGATGCTGTTGATGGCAATAGTAAAATTCTTGATTTCTTCACGACGTTGCTCAAAAATCCAGGGCCAAATATAACGGCAATACAGTAAAGTTAAGAAAAAGAATAAAAACAAACGAAGGGAAAACAAGGCAACTTGAATGGCTTAGATAGCAATATCAGTCATATTAAAGCAACTACTCTATTCGGCGAGAAAAATATTCTTCGCACTGCATAATAGTTCTGTTCAAATGTTTATTTTTATCTGCTAATTTAGCAGCCAGAAGGCCAATTACAGACGATTTACAAAAAAAGTAAATTTATAACATTTGAATAATAACCATAATAATAAAGGTAAATAAAAGTAAAGGTATCCATGTAACAGACCGTGGAGGCCAACAGAGCTGTGAGAAGTCAAGACTCCCACATTTCGTAGATAGTCGGCTCACAGATGGCGCCTTACGCGTCGGTCGCCCTTTACCCCCAGGAAGACTACCGGTATTCATTTCTTTTAAGAGACTTACTAGACACCAAGGCCATAGTGCTGCTGGAAGGATTAGGTCAATTGAAAAAAACAATGGCCTAATAATTTCCTTACTCTTAACGGTCCAAGTACTAGGCCAGTGAAGAAGCCTCAGACCTAGAAACCGAAGTTGCTGTGGTGTGATGACTTGTCAAAGCTATAGCACACATCAGGGATTGGCGATAATATGAGTATGGAGCGAAGGTGGAATGCTGATTGATGATTAGCTGGAGAAAGCCGAAGGAATTCGAAGACAAACCTTCTCAACCACCATTTCGTCCGCCATGAATCGAAGTCAACAAGAGTCTCTTTGGAGAGAATCCAGGTGCTAATCGCCTGTGATATGCCACGGCCACATAACAGTAGTAATTAACATAAGGGAAAACAATGTAATAAAATGTATTTTGGTACTACATGATTTAATTACTGCCGCGAACCGTTAATTTCGACTGACATTTCTCGGGATTCTCTTCAGTCGATGTAAGCAAGTGTCAGAACAGTAATTAAAAGGGCTAAGATGTCTCCAAAATACGAGACCAATTCATTTAAGTTCACTCTGTTCTGACGGAAAATCCGCCTTTCAATTACGGCAACTGGTTCTATTTGCGTGGCTCACGAGATTACGGCAGATTAATTAAATCAGGGAGACATCATGACGTGTTGCGCCACTTGATCTCGAGACGGAAGTCTTTTTAACAGGATAGACGTGCTCAAATTGAGGTCTTGGGCAGCTTGTGCATAATGACACGGTCTTGATTACAGAGTTCAGCACCAACGGGGTTTTGAATTCTAGTGAATTTATATCAACAGAATTGTAGGGTATTGTTGGGAAGTACTAGTTTAGACCTAGTTCGTGACATCACTAAAAATTGTATTTGGACGTGAGGGTCAACAAAAGACTGCCGTCATTTAGTGTTCACATTGGTAATACTGGGTCTGCATATCATTTGATCTTCAGAAGAACAGAACATATTTGCCTTGACTCTCATGCTGGGTTTTAGTTTCAATGTAGAAAGATACTATTTTTTTATTGCTAGTGGCGTGGGACTAAGTCCCTTGTACTGCGGCCACTTCTGGCCTATTGTACCAGCCACAGATGACAAGTGAGGGTGATTGTGGAGCAATTGGTGGAATAAAGATTGGCAGGGGAAACGGAAGTACTCGGAGAAAACCTGCCCCAACTCCACTTTTCCCACCACAAATCCCACTTGACCAGATCCGGAATCGAACGCGGGCCGCCGCGGTGGGAAGCTAGTAACTAACCGCTTGAGCTACGGCGAGGGCTAATATACAACTTACACACAGACATGTAGTTTACAGGTATCCGTTACTTATTTGCCCATGTGCATACGGGTGAGTACAGGCTGAAAAAGGCGCTGCAGGTAAACAGTCAACAAAGGTTATGTAAATCATTTCTGAACGGACTGAATGACGACGTATCTGATTTCCAAACTGATAATGAAGATAGTTTTCAGTTAATTAAAAAATTAATTAAATTAAAAACAACTGTTGGTATTAATGATGGAAACTTCTCCCACTCAGTTATGTATTTTTTCTTTGCTAAAAATGGTCAAGATTAACGCATGATCGGGAGGTCTAGCCTGTTTGTCTGCCTTCTGCAAAATTTCAGCTCCAAAAATACAGAAGGGATTTCTATACAATTTGTTAATTGTTTTCACTCTAAATAATCCTATTTTAGAAGTCATTTAAGTTTATTTTATTTTATTTTTTTTAATTTTCAATCACATAAATCCTTGACCGGCTCTAAGGCCCAACCATCCTCCTATCCAATGGGTACGCGGGGCACTCTCCACGGGGATAAAGCGGCCGGAGAGTGAAAGTGTCCACTCACCTCAAACTAGTGTCTAGGTCGAGAAAACCTGGATCTACAAGAGTACATCCACTGCCTCATACGTCTTTATGGCGTAGTGCTTAATTACTTAAGCACAAGGACAACTTTACCTTATCCACCACATAAATCCCACTCTACATGAAGCTCAAATAGAAAATTATCGAGTTTCTCATAACGGCTTATCATAACAGAAATAGAGACGCGGTAAGAAAGTAGCCTGCAAATTATATTCTTTTATAACACGTGTTTTATCTATGCATGGCTTACACAATGAACTTCGCGGTCGAGTGTTTTGTTTTCGAGCGGAGGCAGCTGGATACAAATCTCGGCCCGAGGCTCTGATTTCCTGAGTCATCTTTCGTGGTTTCATTCGCCCTTTCAGGTAAATTTCGGGATTGTACCTCAAATGATGCCACGACCGCTTCCTTCCACATTGTGTACAGTTTATTATTCATTAGTCTTCCTATCATTCGACGCTGCACGATATGACCTATTCAAATTATAGTTAGATAAACATAGAATGAAAGCGTGGAAAACTAATTAAGTGAAATACGAGGAAACAATTTCTGACACTAGTGAGCAAGCCTATGCATGCAACTCGAGCAATATATTTACAGATTAATTGAACTGACTATTGGTGTTCGCTTTTAATCTTTCTGTCCTTGAAAATGGAAAAGAATTTATTAACTCCGTCTTCTGGGATGTGACATTATGTAGTGTGATAAAGGTTTACAGAGGTCTCTGAGAAACACGCTGCCTCCATCGTCAGGATCTTGATGTCCATCAAATGACGTAACAGGGCTCGACAGCATAACGCAGTCAATGCCGGTTTTCGGCTTACTTTTCTAGCGTGAAAATGGTGACAGGGGGTTGCTGCGAGACCTTGGAAAATATCTGTCCGTCGATATGCCTTAACATCCTAGAAGCCATTACCCTTCTAATATACCGCCGTGAGAATCCAAATTGTCACGAGTAAAACTAATTCTGTTTATTTAAGTATGTTACAGGCGATCGGAGTGGCGGTTGGGTATAAGGCACGTAATGTCTTAGCCCGCTCAAAACACTACGAAAGCGGATTTGAATTCCACCCCATTTGTGTTGCCCTGTGTAGATAGTGGCCTTGTGACGGCTTATTATCCGCCCAAAGGATAATACCGACTTTCTGATGAATGCAAATTTGAGAAATAATTAATTCTGAATGGAAACATGCCAGAGAGCCTAATCCCTCAAGGTAGAAGAACAAGTATGCTACATTGAAAATTTAATTAAAGCTTCTGTGAACTGATTCAGGGTTTAAGTAATACGAAGTTTGGTACTTTTGTCCACAGGCCCAATATGCTTAAAACTGAGGTTACGTTTCAGAGCGAATACAATCCTCCATTGATAGCGAGAAGTGAAATAGCGCTGCATAAAATTTATATTAACGAAAATATCTACTCTAACATCCTTACACTCCGCAACTTCTTTTCAAGACGAGGGTAAGAAGTAAGTTACAGGTTCATGGAGGTTAACTGCAAGAGGACTGGGAAGCCTCCTCTGATTCATGGCTTGTATAAATAACCACGTTGTCCGAGGCTGATGGAGTCGATCTTCTACTAATTTAAGTTTGCTTCTCTTTTTGTATGCTGTTGTCCTTGTTTCCAACAGACATATAAATGGGCTTTGGCGATTTTCATATTGTTTGTG